TTCACCGTACTGGAAGTTCATCAGGATATCCGTTATGAAATTCTCTGGCAGCTATTTTTGCTAAAAGAGCATTATCTCCGACAAGGCGTACAAGTTCAATTTTATCTCGCATACTTACTTCTCCCATGACAAATCACTAATTTCTATCGCTTTCCAAAATATTTTTCACCAATCGAAAATAATCTGACGTTACTGATTCAATACAATTCTTGACAGCACCAATAATGATCTTTTGTTGCATATCCGCAGGATGTTTCACGACACGGCCAACTCACCAAGGTTTAAAAACCATTTAAGAGGTGTGCAGTTAACATTCTATCTTGATACAATGTTGATTCGACCACAGAATTATTAATATTGAATATTTTATAGAGAAATTTGGTGTACCACCACCATTTGAGAAAGTGCCCAGTCCAATGGTGATTTTAACTTTTTCCTAAAAAAGTTGTTAATACGATTTTATGTATTTCAACCTATAAAAATATTCCCAGCAGGACTTGATTTTTGTAGAAAGAAAATGATATTTGGTCCCAAAGTACAGTTTTCCGAGCCTTGCAATTGCTAAATCATCTGAAAATGGAAATTTCAATAGGTGATGATCGACCGTATTGCCAAACATGCGCCAAACTAACTGACTGTTATAAGAAAACAAGTATAGCTGAGGCACCAGTCAATCTAATAATTACACTGATGATCTTCAACCATGACTCAATCTCTGACGGAAGCACCAAACTCTTACGAAGGTTCGAAGTAGATGAACACTTCAATTTAGCAGACCACTATAATAATCTTCTTGCAGTCATTGTTCACCGTGGTTCTGGCGTTGAATCTGGTCATTATTAGGCATTAGTCAAAGACGAAACGGACTGGTTTAAGTTTGACGATAGCCGTGCCACTAAATATTCAGGAAGTATCTTGAATTTGTTGGAGCCTCTGGAGACACTTCACATTTTTTTTAAGAAAGAGAGGACATTGGCAGATCACGATCTTCAGATGATGTGGTGCTGCAGGTTTTTCCGGGTTTTCCTGCAGCTGAAAAAGCAAATGCGCCACTGGAATCAACGAAGTCGCCCTGGAGCGCCAATTAACTTTTGTTGTTGTTTTATAATTTCATGATTTGCATTGAAAAGTTATTTACAAATAGATAATTGAAGATAAAGTTCTTCAAAATCTTGAAAAAGATACAAATTCTAGGGTGGTTTCCCCCTTTCAAGTGGATCACACTGCATAGCAGAGCTACTATTCTCGAAAACAGATTAAAATAAAGTTATCGCAACATTAATGTTCAGTAGAAAACTGTTTCAGCAAAAACTATCATGAATCTTATTCGGAAGCCCCATGAAAGTTTCTGAAAATTATGCACATAGTCAATATCATTAAATCAGCGATAGCGGCTTCAAATATACGGCAGAACTTCAGTGAAACCACTAGAGGGTACTTATAATACTCTCTGGAATCAATGCTAAATTTATAATCGGAACAAAACGAAAACGTTTTATGAACAGGGTATCCTCCGGAAACATGCATCGGATGCATGATAAACAATTCTAAATGACGTGTTCTAATGCACCAGTAAATCTCATCATTTGATTAATGAAAAAAGTGATCCGGATAATATACGAGTATGAAAGTTTATTGCTTGGGATGTAATTTTGATACAAGTTTTTGAATGTTAATTTTTTATTGAACATTGTGGAACATTAGCGTGGGCAAACTGAAAGAGTATACTTTTAGGGGAGAATCATTTTTGACATGAAAAATGTGTGATTTTTCCAAAAAAAAAGAAAGTAATCGATTTCAAAACGCTCTTGAAAAAGTTAATTTCATACAAACATTGTATTACACGAAAGAAACATATTTTCGAAACAAATACTTTCGAATGAACGCTAAATTATACGAAAAATACTTTTTTCTATTCCGTTTGTATTTCAAACATTTGCATGGAATCGAATCAGATATCATTCATAGGATTCCTACACAATATAATAAATGAGTGAAGTGAAAGAATCCGAACCATTCTTATGGAAAATGAATCCCGAGGAATTTTTGATATGATGTATTTCAAGTCAAGCTGATCAAAAATATTTCTGTGCTCAACTCAATTCTATACAATTGAGATACATGGTGTCAAAGTTGGTAACTGGACATTTTTGAGTAATATTGCTTTCAGGAAAATATCCGAAATAAAAATGTTTTGCGCGACGAATATTGCTTGCATATAAAGTAATACTTTCAGACAAGTTTCTGAAAAAAAAAGTTTTATACAGGGTGGGTGCAGCATTATTCAAAATGAAATTCTCAATCGACCCTATGCAGTGCAGATGTCACCAAACCAAGTAACACCCTGATATGCTTATCATTTAAATCTCTCAAAATTGATTAATTCAACATTTTGTACAATATTTTGTCCTATAATTGATTTGCTGAATTTTTGATATGATGAAGTTCAAATCAAACTGATCAATAGTGTTCATGGGCTCAACCTTAAAAAATGAATACTTTTTTCTCTACAAGTTGTTGGAAGTTACTGTTCCAAACTCTTTGATCTATAATAAATAATTCCTTCATATTCAAGGAACATCGTGTGAAGCAAAAAAAATCTTATTGATTTCTGATGTTTGGAGATTTCAAATCTCAGAAAACTAATTTCTCAGTATAGAGTTCAAATGCTAGGTTGTTCAGTTCAAAACAAATGAAATATGAGCGAGAGCAAGGGAAAAAGAGAAGTGAGAGAGAGAGAGAGAGAAAAGACAAAGAGTGGGTGAATGGGTCTCCAGACTTCCAACAATGTGGTGAGAAAAGTGTATTTTTCGTGTTATCGCAATGAATCTATCGAAATGTGGTTGGCCGGTATCTTAGCGGTATGGAGCGCAGGCGAAACTTGGGCATAGTGACAGCCGGTTCAAACGTCTAGTGCAAGCTTGGAGTACATATCGACCACCGGAGGGTTTTCCTACAACTGAAAAGTAAATAAGCCACCAAAAACAGTAGGTCGCCCCGTTCTTCCCGATCAAGTTATATGAGTTTAAAACTACCAATACAGGTACTTCAGGTACTTTAGGTAAACTTGCCTGTACCTGAAGTACCTTAAATTGCTTAAATATTAATATTTTTTGAGTTATTAACAAAAAACTAAATACCATTTTTTTTCAATCTTATTTTAGTATAACAATTGCAATTTTTTACCTGTACCAGAATCGTTCAAAAACATTTTTCTAGAGGTGATTCTGAATCGAATGAGCTATCGCTCATATTTTTAGGACTTTTATCTCTATTTATCATGTTTTTGAACTTGTTGATTATGGGATATGCTCGATATGAGCTAAATATCCGCTACCCCTCTACAAGACTCATAGATGTTATATCTGATGCCGCTAATAGACGTCAGCAAGTTGATCGATACAACTTACCGGAGCTCAGTGATATCTAGTTTTTTTGTCATATTTGAACAGTGTGGATCCAACAATTGATCTCCCTGCTTCAGTTCTACTTTGCTCATTGTTGTTTTCATTATTTTCGTATTTTCAGTGTTTCCCCATTTAATTTTTCTTTCAAACATTCTTGATGACATTTTCTTTGGAATTGAAATGCTATTATGAAGTTTGTTATGCCTACCGAAAGAAACATAATAATGCTGTCAAGGTTCAACAATCATAACTTAAATTCAACGCTTACTCTGTTGAAAAAGTATTGAAATCGAAAAACCGAGTGACCGACCCCGATCTTTATGAATAAAATTATATTTTTCGTTAACTATCGCAATGGCATTTACTACACCTTCAACACCTTGTAGAGAAAAAATTGTCCATTTGTCAAGTTTGGGCCCTTGAAAACTATTGACCAGCTTGACTTGAACTTCATCATATCAAAAATTCAGAGAATCAATTACACGATGAGTTATAAAAAATCTCCTTTTCGCAATTTTTGTTATCACCTAGTTGTTTGTGTCATACTGTAAATCAATTTCGTTCAAGAAGTGCGTTGAATGGTTCGTGGTTAAGTTTCCCTGAAGCTCATAGTATAAAAAAATATACAAAGTGTTACCAAAAAAACTGTTAGGTACTTCTTGACTCACCCTGTACAAAATGTTGAAATGATCAATTTTAAGATATATGAATGATAAACATATCAGTGTGTTACTTGGTTTGGTCACATTTTCACTTCATAGGGTTGAGTGAGAGTTTCAATTTGTATAATGTATAGAACAATATTTTTCATCAAAAACCAGTTTAGGAGTACTGCTTCATGTGCAAGCAATATTCGTCGTGCAAAACATTTTCATTTCGGATGTTTTCCTGAAAGCAATATTACTCTAAAGAAATGGCCACTTACCAACTCTGACACCCTGTATCTTGAAAACTAGCAATAGGATTGAGTTGGGAACATGAACACTTTTGATCAGCTTGACTGGAACACTGTCATCCTCACCGGTAGACATTGTAAGAAAAAGCACTTTCATGAAATTATGACTTTTTGTAACGGAATAAGTTGACTCCGCTCATGTCATCGATGACAGTACGTAAATAACATTCACTCGCCTATTTGATCAGCTTCGAATATTTCGGCCCGGTTATTTTTGATATTTCCAATTATTTCAACATTCCATTCATTTTCATTTCAGTTGGTATTTTCTAGATTTCAATTCTGTTGAAACCATTTTAGACAATGGAAGTTCAAACATCATGAAACATTGTTAGCCACTTTCAAACAAACCAAAATGAAGGTTGCGTTAATTCTTTTTGCAGTATTTATCATATGAGGTGGTGCATAAGGCAGAGTTCAATGAATTTTAAAAGATTTTGGGTTTTTGGGATAAGGTATATGAATTCCTTGTCTGTTCCCCAGAAACAATCGGTTTTCAGAGAAAATAATGGTGAGATGATTTATCACCATTGAAACAGCAAACATGAAAAAAAAAGGTGGTAAAACATTCATACTATTCCATCGAGTTAGTATTTTCTCTCAAATATGCAATTCTATACTGATATTATGATACTCACCTGACAATCATCATCTTCTTCATCCCACCTATATCTACAGTTGAAGTTTCCATTGCACTTCAAACTCTCGTGAATGCAGGTTGCATCTTCACAATAATATTCATCCTCAGCACACTTTTGATTTTTATCTGAAACAAATTGAAAACTATTGTAGAAGATCTCAACAAAATGCTATTCGATAATCAAGTCATCATCAAACAATACATGCCAGATACAGAGAGTGCCTAGGATGGAGTGTTCACACTACCCGAACTACAAAAAGCCTTGAAGGAAACGAAGACCAAATTCATTATGGGGATTTGGAAAGAACCAGTTGATGAATTCAATTTTGGTGTCTCAGAAAAGAGCAATTCGATACATTTCCAAAAGTAAACCTAGGGACCACTGCAAACCACTCTTTCTGAAACATGGATTATTAACTGCATACTCCATATTCATCTTAGAAACGGTCTGCCTAATGCATAAGTCGAAAATATCTAAAGAAACAGTGTATGATACAAGATAAAATGATAATATTTATCTGCCTATACCTACAACGTCTTTAACTAAAAATTCCATTATATTTGAAAGTAAAAAGTTATAACCATTTACCTAGTCTCTTTAAAAATATTACAAACTCTCCATTATTCCGAAAGACCGTTAAAATGCACTTGTGAGAAATGCATTCTACAGTATACAGGAGTATTATGTTGACAATCTGGCTTAGTCCTGAAAAGCCTTGAAGTTGTAATGTTGTCGCTTATAATTTTTACCGTAACTTGGATCATCTTTGCTTTTATCATTCTAAAAATTTATGTACATATAAATGTTTTATGTGTTCGTACTTATTTTTATTGACATACCATCATACCTACTGATTGGTAGTTGTTAGTTAGTCTTAGTTTTGATACTCTATTTATAAGATATTATCTTCGATATTAAAGTATATTTTACCCCGACTATGACTATGACTATGATTATATTTATATTTTTATGTTTATAATTGTATTTATTTTTATATTTATGTATTTATATTTACATTTTGATTTATATATATGTTTGTATGTATATTACTTATATACTTAGGTTTTATGTTTATATTTACTATCCATTCTGTATAACACGTTTTGTCAATAAGATTTATTCTTGGACAATAAAGCATATTTTGATTTGATTTGATTTACGTGGATGATATCCCTATTTATTTTTCTGGTAGGGAGATGCGAGAAGTTGAAGGGAGAATACAAACAACCCTATCAACTTACAACAAGAGCAACCTCCAATATCTTTTGATTTTCACCAACAAAAACACATTGCATCGACTTCTGCCGTTTAAGAATGAGAGATAAAGATCCAGAATTATATATGAATGAAACCCGTATAGAAGTCAAGAACACCATGAAAATACTGGGAGTAATTTTTGATAAAAAGCTATACTTGAAACCTCACATAAAATACCTGACCACCAGATGTAACAAAGCCCTTAATATCATTAGATGTATCTCTGATATAAATTGGGGTGCCGATCGAAAACTTATTCTTGCAACGTATAAATCTTTCATACAGGCAAAATTAGAATACGAAAGCATTATAATATGGGTCAGCGTGTAAAAGTAGATTGTATCAACTTGAAAAGATCCATAAAGAAGGACTTCGACTAGCAATAGGAGCATTCCGTACTAGCCCAAATTGAGCAATCTTCTGTCTGGCATTAGCTCATTAACATTTATGAGAAGAAAACTTTTATTGGTCCCAACAAGTTAGTCCCAATATCTCGATGATTTATAATGAAGCACCAGCAAACAAATCAGTAGGTGAACGAGTAAAAGATGATTTATATACTTTGAATATTGAGTTACTTTCTTCGGAGAAAAACCATCTTGGACGCTAGCAACGCCAAAATTTCATTTCGAATGTAATAGATTCACGAAGGAAAATACGAATTGAATTCAATTTCTCCAAATATTCTATGGAATCATAAACACATATGAGAATAGTACATAAAATATACTGATGGGTCAATAACTTCAGAAGGAGTTGGAGCAGCTTTTTTTGCAATGGATGAGCTCACCAATTTTCATTTTGAATTTTGTATCTCACTACACTCAATATGGCTGGGAAATTTGAACCTCACCCGTAATGAACGTACCCGTTATGAGCTATTATGAATGATCCTTGCGATTTGCACCAGCACCATACTCTCAACGGAGAAACACTCAGTTCAACGAAAACTATCAAAGGAAATTTGAGGGATCCATTAACTCAAATTTGTCTGAGTTGGAAGTTTGTCAACATTATCAAACTTTGCATAGAGTATTCAATGGAGCTGAAATTGAGGTGACGCTGAATTGAAACCACAAAAAGTGAAATGAAACATACTAGTATTTGCGAATAGAAGATAGAATTTAATTGATGGAAATGGTGAAATTTCAAATGAACTACTCACTATGATTACTTGATTTAAAAAAAAATTGAATAAATGGAATCGTGGGATTTAATTTAAGAAACATGTTGAACATATAAGCAATACCGTAAATGGAGCTTTAGGATTCATTTTGAAACAGACTTCTCTTTTTAGTAACATAGATTCCATAAAAGTACTCTATTTTACGCTAGTGAGATCTAAACTCGAATACGGTCATATAATTTGGAATGGAGAATACCAAACAACCTTACAGGAACTGAATAAAATACAGAACAAATTTCTAAGGTACCTATATCATAAGAAATATCATTAGAAATATAGTAGTAAACAAAACGGAACATTAGGAAACAATATCTTAGAGTGTTTATTGTTTTTTTAACAAAAAATACAGTGGAATTTAATCTTAATTAAAAGGAACTGAAAATAAACATGTACCTATACCTAATAGCAAAAAAAACACGAAAAAAAGACTCACGACATTACCTTGTTAGGGTGAAATAAATAAATAAATAAATAAATGTGTGAAATTAACATTCATCAGCTTATTTGAAACAATGATAGGAACACAAGAGTTTTGATTTTTTACTTGGAAAAAAAAAAGGTTGAAGAGAAGTACCTCAAAATATAACTCAACTGATTATTTCACAATCATCTGAAATTTTTCGCTATGTTTCCAAACGTTCCAGATTATTTTCGAATATAATTATGAAATCTTTCAGGATATTCTGGAATATTGTGAAATTTTGAGGAATACCCTCGAATCTTCTGATTCGGTCTGGAATTTTCAATATGGCGATTTTCAGCTCATTCATTTTCAAAAGCACGGCCTCCAGGTGTAAATGGGAACCTTCTTCACGGATGGCGATAGGAAGCTACCGTAACATATAAGTCCCTTGATCATTCCACGATGATGTTTGGCAATACTCTCGAATATTTTGTAATTTTGTTGGGCGTTCCAGAGTCCAAAATTTGTATCCCATATATGTTGAGAAGCACGCCCTTCAGGTAAAAACGTAAGCCTTCATAGACAAGCTAATGTGACAGACAAAAAAATATGTGGACATGTATGTTTGCTATCCATGGGAAACCGGATCGTGTATTTATTATACGGATATTACATAAAATCAATAATTATAGACCTATTTCAATCCTAAACAACTTTGCCTAGCTCCTATAAGCAATTCTGTATAGTCGTATTTATCAATCCTCTCGACATATAATATCTGATCACCAACATGGTTTTGTGAACTCTAGATCCACCATCAGTAATTTAGCTGTTTTTCATCAATATTTATGTGAATCGTTAGACCGTAAAGGGCAAGTAGATGTGATATACACAGACTTCTCTAAAGCATTCGATAGGGTCAGTCATAAGTTACTAATTTGTAAACTTCCTTGCAAGGGTTTCAATGAAATTTATTGTCAACTTTTGGAATCATACCTTAGCGGACGTAATCAATACGTATATTATCGCGGCTTTTCTTCAGATGTGTATTTAGCAACCAGCGGAGTCCTGCAAGGATCCAATATTGGTCCGTTATTGTCTTTACTATTTATTAATGATCTGTGCAACTCAATATCTTGCAATAAATTAATGTTTGCTGATGATTTGAAACTGTATACATCTATAAACAGTTTAGATTATTGTAACATTATGCAAATGGAAATTGATCTTTTACAAAATTGGTGTCTCATGAATCGCATTCATTTGAATATATCTAAATGTAAAATTGTTACATTCAGTAGGAAATTTAATACACTGGAATTTCCTTACCACATCGACAACATTATATTGGAAAGAGATGAGAATATTAGGGATCTAGGTATCTATTTTGATCATCGACTAACTTTCAACTACCATATTAATCATATTTCAAATTCAGCTTACCGCGCATACGATTTTATAATTTGCAAAAATTGCAAAAATTTTCATAATATGCTAACCTTGACTTCTCTGTATTTCAGTCTGTTGGGGCCAAAACTAGAATATGGGTCCATTATATGGAATCTCATACACTATCAATACACATCAGCAACTGATAGAGTCCAAAAAAAGTTTTTAAGATTTCTTACGTTTAGAATGACCGGAACTTATCCTCTAAGAAATTGTGATTACCCAGATCTGCTATACAGATTTGACTTTGTAGCCTTAGAAAAAAGAAGAAATCAGGCATCAGTTTTATTTCTATATAAGCTATTGAATGGCAAATTGGATTGTCCTGTACTATTATCAGAAATTGATATCTTTGTTCCAAGAATATCTACTAGGTACATCAATACTTTTTTATGCAAAAGGGCACAAACTAACTTAATGTTGAAATCACCAATCAATCTGATGTGTCGTAATGCGAATAAGCTCTCTACTAACATCGATATTTTTTGTTGCAGTATTTGTGAAATTAAAAATTAGTCTCGTGTGTAATTCATGTTTTTATATCAAATAGTATTGATCTTGTATCAAATAGTATTAATCCTTCAAGTATGTTAGTTTTGCACTGTAAATGGGAAACCGTTGAGCTATTATTATCATCATTATTATTATTATTGAATCATCTAAATGTGTTTGATAGTTAGTACTTGAGAAATGGAGGAATGTTCAAGACTTCAATTGCAAAGTTTCAGCTTCCATGTTGTCTCAAAACATGTTTGATGTTTGTCCTCCACGCATTCCGAAATTCCCGATATCTTGCCGATCCATATTTGAGTTACACATCCTTCCTACTG